GGGCCGCACTACAGCAGCCTCGGGGGGCTGAAACTGCCCAAGGTCAGACCGGCAAGAGGGGAGAAGGCGTCAGGGTTGGGAGGACAGGGTGCGCAGGCATCAGCTGCCGGGAGACACGGCCGGACTTTGTGCGTGCAAAGGACAAAGGTGTGTCTCGCCTGAAATAAGCTGCGGGTTTTACTATCTGCTAGAAACGTATCCATGCCGCTGCATGATCGGTAAAAGTGGAGCTCTGATGCTGCACACGAAAGCCTGGTATGAGTCTGCTTGGGCGTTTTGTTTTGTTAGAGCTTTAGTATCGTTTTTAGGCTTGTTTGATAGCGCATTGTTTCCGGATCGGTCTTCCCCTTTCTTCACGGTAAGGGCACTATAATTGGCTTTTGTTCCTCAGCGCTTGTCTTGAGCCATAATCCCTTTTCTTTATATAATCAAACTTGAACAGATTTCCTGTAGGGAGGTGGACATCCAAGCAGTGTATAGTAATCCACTTTGGTATCTCATGAGTTCTCGCTGGGTCACAGTCAGGTTTGGAGCATGATTAACGTTATCTCGTCTGATCGGTCTGATGTATTGCTCTAAACCTCAATATTCAAGGAGGACCAATGATCAGCAGCACAGCAGAGCTCTGAAAATGCAAACTCGTCAAAAAACGTTGTTCAAATTTAAATGAATTTAAAGCAATCATTGTAGCTTCTCTTTGTGATAGAGGTATTTCCATGCTTCTCCCTCTACCTGGGCTTCTTCCAGGTTTACATGTATCCCAGACCGACTCTTCCTTTCCAGCCTCCACTTTCCCTTTTCTTGTTGGACAAGGGAAAAAAAGGAGATGGAGTTTCATCCTTCATTGTAAGATCTTGTGATGGGACCTTGTGATTTCATCATTTTATCTTGGCTTTTTCCGTTCAAATCAACCGACTACTTTAATGTAGGTTTTTGCAGTCTGTCATGGTTTAAAGGTGGTGTGAACTGGGGTTTACTCCATTATGCTCTGTCAGCATTGTTGGTTTACATCTGAATATTAGTTTTCTGTGTAACCTAAATGAAAATTCAGTGGATATGTGGAAGCAATAATTTTGCTCTACCAGCTGCCACTTCCCCCTAAACCAAGAAATTTAATGAAGCCATTGAGAGGGAGAAACAAATCCCTAAGGTGTTCTTATGGTCTGAGTAACTCGTGTTCTGTGCGCAGCTGTTGCTTCCCCTATTGTTTTGGGGGTTTTGTGGGTTTTTTTATTTGGTTGGTTGGTTTTTTTAAAGTACTATGTAAGGCCTATAGATATTATGGACAGGTAATAATTTTGTAAATTTTAAAAAATATCATATGGATCCAGATTTTGAATCCTCCAGTAAAAGTTACAGTTCTGGATGTTGAGTGCAACTCTTACATTAAGGCATTGCTGGATGATGTGACCTGACACTAGTCACTTTGGGATATTGGAAACAACCCCCCACCAAACCCTGTGAGACAGTTCAGCAGCATAAAGTGGCATGTAGGAAAATCACTTAAAATTTCCATTTCAATTTAGAAGACTTGCAAGTATTTGCAAGGGAATGGCTTGCAAGTGTTTCACAGGTGTATCGGACTCTTTTACAAGGGGCTTGGGACTGTTTTACCCCCAATCAATGATACTCATGTTCCAAGAAACCTGTTCCTTCTGTAGATGAGATTATACTGTGTTCAGACTGCCACATTCTAGTTAGTAATCTGCAGAAAAATCAAGCTGAATGGCCATTTTCAATCAAAGCCTACCCTTCCTTCTGGCAGGCAGATGATGCTTGAAGGAGTTGTTCTCAGTCTGTTTTGCAGTAGTTGCAATTTGTGGAACAAAGTAGCAAATGGTTATAGTTAGTGGTATTTGAGGTGAAATAAGTACTGCCATTGAGTGTTGCAATAGGAATGGGAGTTCTTCCTCATGTCAGGCTGGGTAATTGACAGGATTCCTATGCAGCAGATACAAGGACTCCCGGAAACAACATCTCAGCCTTGGCCATATTGATCTTCATCACTGGTCTACTCTGGCCTCCAACTGGGTGGTCTGGAGACACACCATCTATAACGCTGCTGATGCCTTTGAGAACGCATGTAGGATCGCTCTAGAGGAGAAAAGACAACGCAGAAAGAATTGTATCTTGCCGATACCATCCAAGGAGTCTTTCTGCTGTGCCTTTTGCAACTGGACTTGTCTATCTCACATTGGCCTCTTTAGCCACCAGCGTGCTTGTAGCAAACGTGGGTAGAGCCCTTCCCGAATCTTCGTTCGCAAAGCCCAGCTGTGATGATGATGTGCAGCAGTTGGGAGTGAGTTGGGCTTTTACTCTTTGGTAGCAGAAGCACTTTTATTGTCCATGACTTCAGGTAAAAGTTAGAGGCTTGTCTTAATGTAATTTCTCCTTCTAGTGATTTTGCAATGTGGACTTGAAGTGGTGATGGGGCTGTGATAACTCAGTTGTGTACAAACCAGTACAATTTCCATGTGCGTGAACTGTCACTGTCAGGCAGCTCGTGTGTGTATTTTGAATTTAATACAGACGGATGTATATGGTCTAGATGGCTTACTGATATAATTTGTTCCAGCAAGTGCTTACATTAGGTATCTCTTTGTGACCTGTTTTAAGCTTTAGTAAAAAGAAAATTAAAACTTTTAGAACTCCAATCAAAGTAGAAAATAATTAGTCTTTGCCTGTTTTGGGATGATTTTTCTAAGCAGAAGAAAAATTCTTGATTTGTAGGACCACCTTCCTCATTCTTATCCTCAAGAGATGCAGTAATATCTGAAAAAGGACATAAATCAGAAAGATCAGTTCAGATTTAGGTTTTGGAGTAAGTGAGATGGGGAAATCAGAGTGGCAGCATTGTTGCATTACACTGATGCTGGAAATAATGCTTCTGTCAAACTACTATTGAACACACTGCTTGGTATTGCCAAAATTAGGCTTTTTCTTGAAATGTATATGTGAAATCTAACATTGTGATCTTCACTAAGCAATCTTCACACTGCTGAGAAGATTTATGGAAATATTAATAGGAAAGCCCATTTTATATACAAATATTCTTCTCTGTAATTAGTAAAAATTAATTCCAAAACCATTTTTACTGTATTATAATGAATCTATATGTAGTTTTTGAGAACAACCTACAGTTCCTGACATATTTTTGAAAGCCTTTTAAACAGTAGTAGTAATACATTAATGAATAAATTCCATTCTTCTCTATACTGCAACTGAATTTCTCACAAATGCAGTTTGCTTTTATGTGGAGCTGCAAATGCCACAGCATTTATCTAGAATTTAGATGTGCATACTGTCGAAGTTGGGTTCATTCTACATGTGATGGAAATTCAAATGAACTTAGACAATGCAATTTACTTGTATTGTACTGTTTCTTACTGCCCACCAAAGAACTTGTTAAGAATGAAGTTTGACAGTCAGAATGCTTCCAGTCCTGTTATGTTCTTAATTGGTAAGCTTGTTAGAGACTTAATCATAAGCCAAATTCTCCTGAAAATGCCTGACTTTGAACAACAGGCTGTCAAGTGATGAGATCATCATCATGAGGAACTACTGCTCTGAAGGGAGGCAGGCTGAACCCTCAGTTCCGGTTTTGCTTGGTTCCCTGCTGTGAAACGTGGAGCTTCCCCCTCTCCCAGAGAACACTGATTGAAGTCCAAACTGTTCATGGATTAATAAGACTTGGCGTGAATTTTGTATGAAGTGAAATGAATTGCCTGATGTGTTTATTTAGCTAAACAGAGTTAGATTGTATTTCATTGTCACTGAAATTGCAGCTTGGACGAGAACAGCAGAGGTCATCTTACTGTTTCTGTAAGGTAACAGGATCAGTTATATCTAAAGTTTATCAAACACTGGTTTGTCCTATTCTAAAAAGCAAAACACCTCCCACCCAGAGATATTTATTTCACAACTTCCCAAGGAAGTTTCTTTTAGCTTTTAATCCTTGTCTTTAGAAGCTTTCTCTAATGTCTAATTTTAATTTAAATCCTGATGCTGAGGTTTAAACTCACTATTTTTGTCCTCTTTGCTGTAGACAGGACATCTTTTTCAATACACCCAAGGTAGCTGCAATGGGAGTCTGTTTTGTCTTCAGGTTTTACTGTGGAAGAGTTGCCAAACAATTACAAAATATACAAGACTGAAGTAATCTTTTAATTTTCTTCATTACCTCTGGTCTTTCATTTTGGCTTATGTTTTAAAGCACACAGCAAAATTAGACAAAATGAGAACTCTCAGTACCATGTTGAGCAGAGGATTTCTTCGTAATGTAAATTACCTTCCTCATCTTGACCTAACATTCTCCCGCCCTTTTTTTTTCCTGATAGTGAAAGTGTGTTGTTGAACTTAACAACTTCCAAATTTGCTGTTAGATTTTTATTGATGACTGAGTAATGAATGGTTAGATCTTTTAAAACATGATCTTCAAACTAATATAAGTGACTGTTTTCAATTTGTCCTGGAAAATTATTTCTATGAACTAACAGTATATTCAATCTCACTAACTTGCAGTTCACGGAAGAAAAGCTTGGTCAGGCAGAGAAGACTGAACTGGATGCTCACCTGGAGAACCTTCTCAGCAAAGCAGAATGCACTAAATTGTGGACAGAAAAAATAATGAAACAAACAGAAGTATTATTGCAGCCAAATCCAAGTAAGGAGACCTTCAGGTTTTTGTTTTCAACTTTTGAGTGAATAGATTTGCCAATGTAAATGTTTATTGCAATAGCTATTGCTGAAGTTATGACTAATGTAATGACTAAATGTAGCAGTTTTAAATTTTTAAGTGTTATGGTGTTATGGAAAGCACATTTTGAAGAGCTAGTGAGAATTGGAGACACTGTACCAATTGGTGGTATGTCCTTAACCCTTCAAATGGGAAAAACTTTAGACAGCTCTTTGAACTGTAGCATTGGTTCCATACTCTGGTCAGTCTCAGGCTGACAGGTTTTTTTAATTGTTTCCTGTTTAATTGAATTTCCCACTCTAATTCCAGATATCTTGGTTAGCTCTAAGAACTCTGAAGTTCCTCATGGGGTAGATACGATGGCTCAAGAAACTACATTACTAATTCATTACTTTAAACTCTCTGCACAGTACAATTCAGCCTGAAGCAGGCAACACGAACTGAAATACCTGTCTTTAACAATTCCATTACTAAAGAATGGTTAGATTGATGCACCCTGCTTAGGCAATACAAAAAAATGTCAAATATGATTTCTTCACTGTTGAATCTCTTACTGTAATAGTAACAGAAAAAAACATGGGTAGAGGAAATGTAGTTTTGTGGTGTGTTAATTTTGTTTCTAAAATTGCTGCTATGTGTAGTAATGTTGATGAGGTGTTTTAGACTCATCCTGCAGTTGTGCTAGAGTTGGGAGCTGTAGGAATTAGCTTAGTGTGTAGATCTAGATTTCAAGTCAAGACCTGGTCTCTAGTCACTGGGTGAACTACTGTACTGAAAAAATCTAAACCTCCTTTAGGTTTGATCGCATGATAAAATTATAATGCTGCTACTACCTCTGCACTGAAAACATAAATATTCTTATAGTGACATACTAAGCTAGGATTTATTAGTAAAGGTAAATCATACACTGCTAGCACTTCTCTAATGCCAAGTAGATACATTCTTTGTAATGTTGATTTTGAAGTATTACTTTAGAAATCTGTTGGATCTTTTAGTTCCATAAAAACAGTGTTTAAAAAACTAACCAACTAATCCTGTGGGAAGAATGCAGGTACAACTTGCAGAATATTCTAACTCAAATTTTTACTTTTGTCTAGGCCAGAGGAAATAGTTGTCTTTTTCATTCAATTCAGTACTTGCAATGTCTATTGGACTTTTTCAGAAAATTGTAAGCTTAGAATATTGAAGCACTAACTGGTGGCTAGTGGAACTGTGCGAAGAAGTTTCAGTAGAAGGCTAATATGTGGTAGTATCTCAGTTATGCTGACCAGTCCATTTTCTGATGGCTAAAAATACTCAGTGCTAAGCAATGGTCTTCGTCTGTGAATGTAACTTCAGCTGTTTGGTGGCCTACTGGGGAGAAGGATCACATGCTGCAGAGCTGCTTTTGGTGGTTGTTCAATGGAGTGACCCTGTCTAGGGGACGAAAAATCACTTTCAATCCCATTTTTAATTGTACCTTTAAGTCAGACCCATGTAATATTCCAATAATTTTAGATCACTTTTCAGTTCTTTTGTGATTTAGGGAAAAATAAATTTCATGGTTTGAGTAAAGAAAATAAATACATTTTTATTATTTTTGGTTCACCCTTGGTGCCAGAGAATGCACTGGTACCCATGTTTGTCTGTGTCAGGTTAATTTTTGTGACCTTCATGAGAGAGTAGTTATTTATTCCAGTGCTGTTGAAAGTTGTCTAACAAGTATTATTTTGGTTGCGTCAGAACGGCAGGTTTGTTCATTGGAAAGCTTCTTTGTGGTTGTCTGTACTATTGCAGGCTGAAATTAGTTCATACCAACTAATAAATAAAGCCAGCTGGATGGGAAATCAAAGCAATTGGTCAGAGAAATCAGGTATTGTATCTGAGGAGTTTGATTTTGTAATTAACAGGATCCCTGTCCATGTGTGTGAGGTTTTTTTCACCTGAGAAGGGCACGGTGGCGTAATATTATGATAGATGGATATTTGTGTTCATATAGTCTCAACAAGTTTTTCTGATAATTTTATTGCTCAAACTAAGAAAAGATAGGAATGAAACACTTTCTTACAGCTTTGAGGGTTTCTTCCAAAGTGTTTCAAGGGAGCAGGGGAAGTGAGGAATCAAACTTTCAGAACATCTTAATAGGGAACCTGCAGTAGTTGTTGAAATTAATTCCTACTCTGCTAATTCTAAGGAACAATTTTGGCAATTTTTTTTTCTGAAGGGGGAACAAAAGACTGTATTTTTTAAGGAGAAACATTCTGTTATGCTCTCACAATTAAGACTTCTGATCAAAAAAGCTGAAAAGGGAGAGGAAAAGTATAATTTTTCACTTTCACAGTTGGCTCTAGGAAACACTTGAACGTAGCGTGGCAAACATGGAACACAGTTGGTTTCCAAGAACAGAATCTTCAGCTTAACATTGTTCACTTAATGTTGAGTTTAATGGCTGGATTTTCAAATTTATTTTGTGTGTTTCTTTTTTTTCGGTTTGTTTGTTTCTCTTTTTAACTTGTGCTTTAAATGGCAGTAATTATTTAAAATAAATGTTTTTTAGATGCCAGAATAGAAGAATTTGTCTATGAGAAGCTGGATCGCAAAGCACCAAGTCGCATGAATAATCCAGAGTTACTAGGCCAGTATATGATTGATGCTGGGAATGAATTTGGCCCAGGAACAGCCTACGGTAAGTAGAAGCAGAAAAAGCACAGATATAAATTTTTTTTAAACAATATAAAGTGATATTTCTTGTCTTCCTCTAGATAAAACAGTTCAATGACATTTGTAACAATTTGAGATGACTTGCTGTGCATCTTTGAGCCTTAGGAGATCAATGATGATGTTTCTATCCAAATCTAAAAATTGAACCTGCTGTTGGAATGGTATCCATTTTTGTGGATGGATAATTTGCTTACCAGAACAAATGATTCTGGAATTTAATTTCTTTTTTAAAGGAACACATTTGCACATCTGACAATATTTATCAATTTTACTTGTGCTATGGAGTGAAAATGTTATCTGACATTAACTTCTGGAGTAAGAAGCCTCTCTTAAGTGTGCAGGATTCCTGGTTTTCTTAATATATGATAAGAGCGTAGAACACAATCTAAATTTTTTCCTTCTCCAGTAAACTTACATATCTATGACAGGAGGGTTGGAGGTGTTATATCTAATATTTTTACATTGCCACTAATTATACAGTCTAATTCTAGTGTTTTCTACAACTCTTAAAATTCCTGATAATTGTAGCTGTTAATTTAACTTAAGCAACTGGAAAACATAGGTGTCTGTATATATAATAATCTGCAAAGTTTGATCACTCTCTTCAGTTACTTTCTTCAAAATTACAGTGGGAGGGAAAACTTTTCTTCTATGAAGAATGAGTCCTTTATCTCCAAATAATGATCTTCCTTTTGAAATGAAGGAAAGGGCCATTAAAAAAAAGTAAATGTTTTGTAGAAGTCTTATGGGTACAAAATCAATAATGGCAGGCTTTGTTCCTCTTACTTCCACATGATTTTGTGTATCTGTGGCCTTCCTTCTGACCATCAGCCTCAAGTCTTGCTTTTAACATCAAATAGAGTTGTACTTAAGTACACTGTCCCTTAAGTTGCAGAATTTTTTGAATTCAGGCAAATAACGTAATCTGTTAGCATAAAGATAGATACATTGTTGGGTTTCATACAGTGTCACAAAGTATTTTAGTTCTCTGAAAACTTAATGTCCTTTCTAGCTAAGCCATGTCATCCTATTGAAATTACTCTTGATACACCATCTTCAGTTTCAGTACCTAACTTGCAAACAAACTTCAAAGTATTGTTCACTTATTATACAAATGTATATTTAGAAGGTGGAGCAGATGGGGACAAGGAGAAGTACATAATTTTACAATAGCTACATAAGCTTTTTCCTTGCTACCAGCTACTCTTGACTTAAACAAAAATGTTGTCTGGGGGAAGGAAGTTGTTGGATTAAAATAACTAGGTATGATACCCGGTTCTGAAATAGGTGTTCAGTATGGAGTTGCCATGGTGTCACTTCTACAATGCTGTATCTGTTCTTATTGAGATCTTGCCTTGATCTGTGATTGTCCTTAGTAAAAATGGTTTGGCTTGGTGTTTGGGTGCTTGTTTAGGGTTTTGTTTGTTTGTTTTTATGGGGGTTTTTATGTACCTGATTTGGTTTTCTTTTGAAAGCCCTTGTCATGGCATTGGATTATCTTTCAAAGTGCTGGCCTAAACTTTTCTGACTGTATCAACCTGTTGTATTAACCACCTGCCTGAATCACTGTGAAATTAAAATATTCTTTTTTTCCTTTGCAGGAAATGCACTCATTAAATGTGGAGAAACACAAAAGCGAATTGGGACAGCAGACAGGGAACTAATTCAAACTTCTGCTATAAACTTTCTCACTCCCCTAAGAAACTTTATTGAAGGGGACTACAAAACTATCACTGTAAGTTGAACTGTACATTCTTCAGCATTTCACACCAGTTGTAACTGTCAGTCTTCAAAATGTAGGAGTTGATAATGGTGTTTTATTGCTTTCCTCAAGCTAATGTAGAAAAACTTGAGTAAAATTTGTGCCTTTGGTGTATTTTCTTTGCTTTTGCCCAGGTAAAATCAAAATAATTATGAAAACTCGCATTTGGTAATTGTTCTATTGAAAGTATGTATATCTAGTATAAAATGTGTGAGAATAGTTAGGATCTAATTCTCTCTCTTCAGCTGAAGAACCTTTTTGTATGTGATACTTCATTAAAAAAATTTCAGAGTAGACAGGCTTTTGCTTGTCAGTATGTGTACCTGTTCTCACAAACTAACCTAACTGACTTCCAGAAAGAACGTAAACTCTTACAAAATAAGAGACTGGATTTGGATGCTGCAAAAACCAGACTGAAGAAGGCAAAAGTTGCAGAAGCTCGAGCTGCAGTAAGTAGAGTTTTTTTTAAACTTGTCCATAACTTTGAAACTTATTGATTTATATTTATCAACTTGACTTCTTGGTTATGTTTCCAGTCCTAGCTTCTTACCCTCGTTATTTTTCTAGATACTTTTGTAAGAAATGCCTCAGTGGAACACAAGGAAATAAAAGTGAATTACCGATCAAGGTCTTTAAAAGTCTTCTACTTTTGAATATTCCATCAGGTTGAACTTACTACTTCTATACTAGATGAATCTATACTGCCAAAAATGACTTGCTACAATCTGTCAATATGGGTGTAAATATAAATACTTGAATCTCTGCAAATGTTGGAGCATATGTATAACTACTTTCAACTGATGAACCTACCTATACTTAACTTCTATATGAAATATATTTGTGGTTTTGCTCTTTACATATTGCTTTCACACCACCAAACAGAGGTGAGACTCTTAAACTCACATCACTTAACCATTCTTATTCCCTCAAAAAATACTTGCTCAAGGAAATTAAATTGAAAAAAAAATTACTGCTTTTTAAACTCTTAAAATGCCTCTAAACCTTACTTTCTAAAGCAATGAAAAGAACACAAGGAAATTGTTCCTCTTGAGCTTTGTATTAAAATAATATATATATTATACTTCAGTTTTAGTTCTATCACCAGTGCAATCATCCAGAGCTTAGTAAAAGTTTGCTGCTGCTACCACTTGACCACTCCTAAGTATCATATAACAAGTAATTTGCAGTTTTATGCACAAATAATTTAGTGCTGGTAGAGCATGAAACTCTAAGCCTCTTCACTACTTTGTCTACGCTTTTAATTTTAATTACCTTTTGACAGCACTATGCATGTTTAATAAGTATCAGATTGTAGAATTCCAGGAGAAATAACAAAATTGCACCTCTGCTTTATCTGCTGCTATATAGAAATGAGAATTAACCTGGATATGGATGTGATGTAAATGGTTCATATTTTGCTGGCTCACTTGTTTATAAAGAAAAGACCTAATAAACAGGTCTGGACTGATAGGTTAGCAAAGTGTATAGAGTTATGATGACAGCTTTTGTTTTACTATTTTCTTAGACAGGATAAAGTGATAAATTACATTTACATGTTATTATTTTTTCCCTGTTCTAAAAATACATAATATTTGAAAATTACTTCTCCCATGCTTACTGTACAACTGAAATAGCTTAGATCAATGTTTAAAATAGAAATCTAAACTATTTTATATATCTGTATGCAGTTCACAATCTTGGTTAGCTTAAATTTGCAGTGCTTTGTGCCGATAATCTATTCACCTGCTATATTCACAGTGTTGTAACTTGCTTTTGTCTTTTATCTATACATTTAAGCAACTAAACACTTCTCAGCCTGAAGAGAATAACATTATGGTAAATGTCTCTTACGTGCTCAACTTGCTGCATGTAAAATGGCTAAAGGTTTGTTGGCCTCCTGTGTTCATTCATTTCCCTGTCAAATGTTTCCTCTTGCTATCCAGCTTGTTTTGGTCTTGTTTAGATGGTTTCCATTTTAAAATGGATTGGTACAGTGCACTAGATGCACTTAAGTCAGTACAGCATTGGGTGTTGTTTTTATCAGGTTACTTCTGATAATCTGAAATATTCAGTATATTATATTCTAATTTCTGTGAAAGTAAACTTAAGATGCAAAAGTGATTTTTCACTTCTGAAATTATTTTCACCCATTGGAGGGAAAGGAATGATTTAATTTTCCTATCTTTTTAATGTGAGTACAAGTGGATTATGTGAAATAGACAGAAATATGTAGAAATTACTCCTTTCAAGCAATGCATTACAAATAGCTGCAACTGAGTAATGGTCACAGAAATTAATGGCTTAACTTAGATCACAATATATCCTAAACTTGTTGAGAGGACTCATTAGTGCAGCTGGTTTTAGCACCATAATTGTGAAAGCAGAAAAGAAAGGTGTTAATTATGTACAGCATAGACTGCACTGTCCAGCCTGTCCTGGTTTGGGTCTCGAATCTGCACAGCATATTGGGTCTCATCTCCATTAGTGTTCCAGATATCTCAGTTGTGATCAGATAAAAGAGCAAATAAAATTGTTTGTTACAATTTGCTTCTGCAACCTCTATACACATTTCTTCCTGCCAAACTCCTGATTGTGTCATCATCTTAAAACTGCAGAAAATGAAGGTTAAAGGAAAACCACATTGCAAGAGGGAATTGGAAGAGCAAGCTGAAGTAATTAACTTTCAGAGTAAATCCTTTGCAGTTCTATGATATTACTGTACAGCTTGCTACTACTTTATTACTCAGTTTGAGATACCTCTAGCATTTTTAATTAAATTTAGGTTTCAATAGAAGTGCTTGTGAAATAGAAAACTGGTATTGAAACTAGCAAGAGAAAGCATTTATCTGTTTCAGTGTAAAAATGAGAATAACTTTCCATAGTTTTCCATTATTATAACACAAAAAGGTAACTTAAATTCATCCTAAAGTAATTTAGTTTGTCTGATTCATGTCATTTTCTAAGTAGTTATGTCTTATGTTGTAATAGCTTGTTTTAAATAGATTCTTGTGATATGTAACTTCTACAAGTCATGCTCTCTTCAGTATCTAACTTATTTCACAGATGTAGTGCTATCCATACTCATTGTAGCTTCATTGTATAGAAGGACTTTGGGCGACTGATTTATAGCACTCCTTAAAGCCCTGTGAAGTTCTGAGGAAAGGAAAGTAGTTAAAAGCCAAAATATGGTTACGTGCTGTAATAAAGTACAACCAGTATCTAAGTTTGTATGTTTTTATTTTTTCCCCCCACTCTTAATGCTGACTAGATATGGGCTGAGGAAGTGACAAAAGTAAGTAAACAATTTAAAAATTGCAGAATTCTGAAACCATAAGTTGTGCTAGTCTACTTTAATAAAGGATATCACATATTGTTGATTTCAGTCTAGTGCTGGCAGCCTGGTGCATTACATCAGAATTCACTGTTCCCTCCAGGGTCTTTCAGGTTTTAGTGGTAAAACAATGCCTGTGGCTTGTTTTATAGTAAGCTGGCTTGTTTCTGGCTGTCACTTAGTGCCAGTACTATATGATTCTCATGTGACAAGATACAACAGAAAAAGAACTACAGGACTTGTCCCTCAAAATTTACTGGTATAATATCCTATTAAAAATGACCTGTTAAGAATGAGCTTATTTGAAAATTTTCAAAAGGTTTAGGTCTAGTAATGGAAATTGTCCCAAAGACACTGATCTTCAGCTTTCACCCAGAACATGGAACACTCCACCTTTCTCCCCAGTGTCACTAGACCTTCAGCAACTGAAGCTGGGGGTAGGCACATCTGAAGACTCCACCTGCACTGAAATCTGATTGATAAGCTTAGCATTAGCCTTGAGATGGGGGTTGCAGCCTTCTGTTGTCATCCTTTGCACAGGGACAAACTCAGTGGATCTAATGGCATATTTGTCAAAGCTGCTCTGGTGTCATGGGAAGGCCTGTTCTTAGGCCCACTGGCTCTGACAAACCAGTATTGGGAGCAAGTTGCAAGAGGGTGTGCTAACAGTGAAGAAGAGATTCCTTAGTGGAGTTTTGTAGAGGAGGGGTAATTAAAATTAGGTCAATAGGAGGACGGCAGGGTCCCTGAAGTATGGTTTCTAGGGGAGGACTAGCTGGGTAGCTGTGGGAGGTATAAGGAATTGCCAGTAGAAGCTGGGATGTGCAGCTTTGAAATCTTGGGAGTTGTGAGAGAAAATAAATGAAGACTTTTTCTATTCCAACTTCTTGCGAGTTGTCATGCAAACAGGGGAGTATAAGTGTGAGTTCAAGGGGAAGGAGGCATTTAGAAATTGAACTGTAAAAGATTTAATAGGAAAATTCTAAGATTCTTTCCTCAACAAACTTAGAAAACCTAATTAGTTTGTAACTTGATACAAACACTGCTATCTCAGTTTCAAGTAAGAAGTACAGAGTTCTCTCTAGCTGCTTCCTCACTGTTTAATTAATGTGTAAGCCTTCCCAGCTGCAGTGACTTCAGATGGAAAAACATTTCTTGGGTAACTGCATCGTTCTTCTGTACTCTTTTATGAGATTCCATGTGACTTTTCCTATTGATTAACATTAGCTGAATGCAAGAACACAATGTTTGGAAGCACATAAAATTATTTTGAAACCAGTGTTTTATTGGTATCACCTCATTAAGTTTCATGAAAATATATTTCCTCTGTTTTGTTGCAAATAGTAAATGCTGCATCTTGGACTTAATGCAGATTTTAGCCCTTGAGTTTGTTTTTAGAAGCAAGGCACTAAATGCATATGAACCTTGAAGCATGGTAATCCAGATTCCAGGCTGAGGACATTCTATCTTGGAACAATGAATCTTAGATAGTAGAATACATATTATGTATTTGTGTGTTTAGTATCCTTTTTTCTTTGCCCCCAAAGAAGTACTCTAAAGTAACTTCGGCTTGTACTAGGTTGAAGTTGTTTAAAACTACTGTAACATTGACAAGTTATTTAAAAATTGCTGAGAAGGATATGTAACAAGGAATAAATTTGAATTGTTGAAATATGAGACTTATATTCAGTAATTTTAATAGAACTTTTACTCTAATTGAAGTTAGAACATTTGGTGTAGTTCAGATTTATTTATTTTCAAAGATTCTTCAGTTACAAGCTCCAGAAATAGTTTAGTTTGGTGGCCAGAATAAGACATTAAATTATTAGATATCCTGATAAAACTTAATATCAAAGATTTATGTACAGCTGATTGCTGTGCAGTTGCCTGGCAAAAATAATGAGATTTACCCTACATTATTTCATCAGAGACCTGTTAACGTGTAGAAAAAAAATGCCATTATTTATGGCTGCCACTGGTATGCTGACAGAACCCCTGGTGCAGACACTGCTATGCCAGTGAACGCTTGGTCTGTTATGGGAAAGATGGAGTAATACTGCTGGCAGAAAAATGCCTTTCTTTTGCATATGTAGTAGGTGTCTGATAATAAAGGTGCTTGTTGTGTATACAGGGCCTCAACATTTTTGAACCCATAATGCAATTATTCTTTTTGCCTAGTGAAGGTCTGCAAAGAAAAAGCACATTTCAAACACCTAAGCTTGTGATGAATGCATTTGTATGAGCAGTTCTGAATAAAATGGGACTGTTGCCATGGGAAGGTGTAGCAGAGAGTGCTGTACAAATACCTAATGTGTGTTCTTCCTTTTAGTCTGAACAGGAAGTACGAATTACTCAGAGTGAATTTGACCGTCAAGCAGAGATAACCAGACTTCTGCTGGAAGGAATCAGCAGCACACATGTGAGTACCCAAAAGGGGGAAAGTCAATGTCAGGGCACTTCCTAAAAATAGTTACAGTGAACTGCTTGGCAACTTTGGGCTGTGAGGTTTCACTTCAGTGCATTAAACCATTAAACTGTGGGGTTTTTTATTTTTTTGAATTCTAATTTAGCATCCACTGAATTGAACTTTAGTTTCCCATTTATCTTCAGAATGCAGGAGCTTTCATTTTCATCCTTTATGTTCAGCTTCCCATTCGTCAGATCAATTGAGTGTTGAAATGACAAAAACATGTGCTCAGATATGTTAATTTTTGCGGAATTTTATCCTGGTTACCTGGTGAATCCAGGCACTATGTCTATCTGGTGTTAATCCCTAAGTGCCAGTATTGGCATTAGCACCTAGGTGGCTACTCTTTCTAATGCAGCATAGTACTCTTACAGACTAAAAACCTGAATTCTTTGCTGTGTTGTAGGCACATCATCTCCGCTGTCTGAATGACTTTGTTGAAGCTCAGATGACCTATTATGCACAATGTTACCAATATATGTTGGATCTCCAGAAACAGCTTGGAAGGTAGTAACACTGTATAAAGCACTTAGAAAAAAATGGTTTTTTTTTCCCTGAAGTTATGAATAGTAGGAAAACTTACACTGATGTAACAGTGGTGAACATACAGGCATGCTGGACTGAAAGGAAATATATCTGTTCTCAGGTAATGGATATGTAATTACCTAAGTGCAAGTACTTCCCTAAGCATACACACAGCACTAATGCCTTTTGAGGGTTGATTTACTGACATTTTGTGTATCTTGTAATTGAGGAAGGTGAGTCCTTGGTAACCTCATTTAATGGCACAAAAAGCAATTTCTAGAGATTTATTTGTAATCATTCAGTTGTCTTATGCTTCATGCTACTGAACTGCTGTGCAAAGTGGGAAAAGTTTTTATACTGCCTATGAGTTCCTGTTGCCTCTTTATTTGCTACGGGGCACTACCTGATTTTCAGTGAAACCCTGTTCTCCACTGTGAGTTGCCAGCACAGATATTGTATCTGGGGAGAAATGTAGTTCACAATATCCATAATCCAGAGCACTCACAGGGGAATGAGCAAATTGGTCTAGTTTGACTGTTTCATGAGTTTAGCATTTTTAAAGTAAGAGAAGAACCTGATGTTAGTTTGTGCTTATAATCCTTTCTGTGTGATTGGTGGGGATGTAGAGAGATCTACATACTTGCTTTTCATAAAGTTTCCCTATTCTAATTCTTCGCAAATCAGCCTTTCTTAGGGTTATACAGATCATGTTATTTAGGTGAGTGTATGCATTGAAGGATTGTCTGAGCTTAGAAGTTTACTGTAGTGTTTGCTCTAAATAACTCTCTAAGGTATTGCTGTTTATGTTTTCCATGACAAGGAAGTAAAAACAAAAGTGTTCTTGAGTCTTATCCTTTTCCTGAGTTGCAACTTCCTGTGGCATTTGATTTCCTTTCCTCAGTTTGTTTGAATGTGTAGTTTAAAGACTTTTTTTTTAGCCTTGAAAAAGACTTTAAACTACTAAACTGTAGTGTTTAAAACTTTTAGTCTTTAAAACTTTAATCTTAAAAAAAGCTACATTTTTGAAGTTACATTCCATGGAAAGAAGTATTGAACTATAAAATGTGGCAACACACAAAAACAGGTTGTAGAATTGAAAGCTTAAAAATAAAGATACACTGTATTAAGAAAAAACAACTCTTAAATTAGAAATTAAGTGAAATATATTTACACAACTATTTTGAGATGATATTTTTAAAATGCGTACTCTTATCCTAGTGTATTTACTAAACAGAAAGCCTTAAACATATAGTATCCTTATTCTAAGAAAGAACATATTCCTATTTAAAATCTGCTTTAGTATAGCTTGTCCCAGAACAGCTGTCTTTGTTTAAAATGTGTAAGCTGCTACCAGGTATAAAAAAGTGTATCTGAAGAAAATACTGCCTTTAGAAAAACAGAAGAATGTCTTTTTGTGGCTGTGATCTGATTAGTATTTTTAATAAAATTAGTATGACTACTAGAAGACCAAAAGCATGGAAGCTTTGAAAAATTCTAAATGCCTCAAACAGTCAAATGAAGTTTCTCCACCTATGTGGATTAAAATAGTTATGATATTAAATCTTGGGTGTGTCTTTCCTTCCTTGTGCAAGGGAGTGCCACTAAACTGTAACAGAGAGCACTGGGACAGGGTCTCAAGTTGTGCTCTTTGCTTTGGGAGAGTTTCTCCGTTTGTAGGTATGTGGTGCGTAGCAATTGCATTAAATAAACAGATGAACAGGGTTTGTGTACTGTACTCCCTTCCCTGTGTTGTGTGTAGGCAGATGCAGTACCAAATAAACAGCTTAGGCAGCTCAGCTACATTTTGGTTATATTTGCCAGCACTCTGGTGGTTGCCACATAGTGCTTAGTTACACGTGTTCTTTTCACACATCTAAGAATGATATTGTGCAATATTCTCATTTGAAAGCCGAGAACTGTGAAGGGCTTAGCTTTGTTTTGAGGTGGTTGATGGACCAAAGGTGTTCAGCCTCTAAGTGACATAGTTTGTTACTTGAAACAGAAACCTGGTTTTTAGAGTTGATGCATATTATGTTTTCCCTGGGTCAGGATCTAGGGCATGAACCCTGTCCCAGTTGACACTGAGACTATTCAAGATCCAAAGCTGAGCACTGATGGTAGTCTCCAGAGCCAGCTATAGGGAAGGTGGGGAGAAAACTTGTGCTCAGTTCTCTTTATGTAAATAGACATGTTTCTACGGATGTTTCTCTTAGAGATGGCATCAGATGCTTACCTCTGTACTGCCTCTCCCTCCTGTGGGACTGCATTGATTCTTTAAATCAAATCTTTTTATGTTTTTATGTTCCTCAGAATGAACTAAACAAATCTGTTTCAAATATTCTGATACTCTGACTGCTTTTTTTCTTTCTGATAACTGCTTTTGCTCTGAAGTTTCTCATCTTCCCTGACAGACAAACCTAACCTTTGGAATAATTATTTTTTCAGATTACCCATTACTAGTCCCCTACTCTACAAGCTGTGAAACTTGTGTTACTCAAGCATTCAAAAAAAAAATAAAATTCTAGACAACCTCTGTATAGCTGAAGCTTTCCAGTAACATGCCTACATATGGTTTTGCAAAGAGAGTGAGACTTAATGCTTTACTGATTGACAGAGTGGTTATAAAGTTTTGGTTTTCTCTTCCACTGACTGTGCAAACCAGTGACCCTTTGAACTGAGCAGAACGACTTACAAGTAATTACTGTGTTAACAGAGAACAGGTTTAGCAGTATATTAAGCAGTCATTTAGCTATATTGAGAAACAGCTGATTGTCATTTAAAATTAAATCCCTTTGTTTGAATGCCAACTAATCAAGTAATAAATACATCATGAAGTACAGCTGAGTTATACTTACAAAAATGTGGGGTCTAGTTTTGCCTCCCTTTGTTCTACTTATTTGGTTTGTCAGGGAACCTGGTGAACTAGTTTGAAAAATTAATGTAGCAAATGAAAAAAAATATAAATTTGTGGAGTTGAAGTCTCTTTTGGTGAGTTGAACCAGGTCTTTATGATCAAGTGAGGTCAAGGTGAGCCAGACAGGGAAGTGGTACTTCCTTCTCTACACAGTAGTAAACTGCTAACTAAACTCAGAATGGTCTCCTGAAGTCTTCCCAATTTTTATATGCAATTCAGTCTGACTGTAAAGGGGCTAGTGCTGTCCTTCATGATGTGCTGCTCTTTCCCTTTGCTCACATACAAATAATTGCATGACTGCAAGGTGAACATGTTTGAAAAGATGTTCTGATGAAAAGTTAGCAATCTCCTTGATTTTTTTGTTAGATCCAATTGAATCAAAAACAACAGATCTGACTCTAATGACAGAGAATGAACATTTGTGCTAAAATGGGATAGAGGAGTGGGGCCACCCTGTTTGGTGGCAGTGTGCATTTACCAGGTTAAGTATAGGGTGAATCTGTAACCGTGTGTGCAGGACTGCTGCAGCTGTTACAGATTTGAGCTGCCTTGCCAAAGATTAGTCAGTTTATTGATGGGTTTAGTTTTCACCTGCATCAGCTCCCTAAAACAGCTCCTCTTATGAGCATATGAGCACCAATAATGCTGCAGATGTGGTTATGGGAATGTACTTCTCTGGATTTATATGGTTGAAGTTGCTACTGAACTGCATCTTCAGAAGTCACCTAATTGGGGAGCATAGGTGGGAAGTGATGAGATGAGACTTTCTGGCAGGTTCATATGCATGATGTGGATAGGTCTCCATTATATCAAAAGGGTAGGCAAAAAAAAGGGGGGGATGTAATATGTCCATGTCCAAGCATCTGTGTAGAAGGACTCATAAGAGAAGTTACATGTGGGAATTAAGTGGGCAAAAGAAAGGAAGGAAATGCAGCTACAGTTCCATGTCATCATGACTCAGTCTAACTCCTAGTAGCTGACCTTTTTTCACTGCATTGGCTCCGCCAACTTCAAAACCTTCATTGACCTACTCTTCAGGTAGAATCAGATGAGTGTTACAACAAAGACAGCAGAGGGACAAGAAATTGCTGTATCAGCTGCTAAATAAATGTTTAGTCCGCTGTGGAACTGCATCCCAGGATGTAGGGCAGAGTGACATGAGACAATCTCAGAGCTCTTCATTACCTCCTGGGCTGTCCCATTCTTCCTACCCCACTGCCCTGAAATCCCTTGCTGCTTTGCTCTCTCTCCTTTCTGCTCTTTCCACTTTTCAGCCATGTTATTCTGTCCTATCACTTGTATCCACTCTGGCACTCATCAGTTTTTTGTGATTCAGCTCATTAACTAAGTAGAAGATTATACACATTTTTTCCCTTTTTTTTTTTCTGTCAGGTTAATGAGTTTAATTGACTTCATGGAAGGGTCTGGCAAGTACTACAGCTGGCACTGAGCAAGTAGCAGCCTGACCTAGAAAGGAGGAGCTTAACTCGATATAAGTTCATCTTTAGTGTAACGAATATTTTTGTTTTACAGCATGCAGTTAGCTGAATCAATGAACAGATTTAGATTACAAAAATAGTTGTGTGGTTTTTCTTGCTTTCAGAGAGAGGCTGTGCTTTTAACTTGCATTATATTTCCCTGATCCCTGGTTCGTCAGCACAATCTTTTGTGTAACCATGTAATTGAGGAATGAGCAGGAGGGGGTGGAGGCTACTTTTACTGGCAGAGCTGTCAAAAGAAATGTTTATTAAAATACAGTCTGAATTAAGTTTGACCAACAGTGCTTTGTTGGTTTTGCCCTTTTTTTTAAGAGGCAAATATCAAGGGTTTTTAAGGTTGCAGTATTTATTTTAAATTATACTGGTTTGATTTATACTGCAGATCAGGAACAAATATCTTTATTTAGGTTATACAAATATCAGTACTATTCCATTACTGCTGTCCACTTATGTTTATTGCCGATAAAAATCAGAATGCTAATTTAGGCACAGAGGCACGTGTAGCACCCTATGTAAAACAGATTCACTCAGAACTCTTTTTGTTTTGTTTTCTCTCACAGCTTTCCATCTACTTTCCTCTCTAACAACAATCAGTCCTCCACAACTCCTGTGCAGAGTCTTTCTACTCCCTCAGTCTTGGCCTCAGCCTCTGCTTCATTGCCTTCAGTAAGCAACTCAGTCGTTACTTCAGGCATCAGTGAACTGAAGTCGTCAAGTGGCAGCAGGAAAGCAAGAGTTCTCTATGATTATGATGCTGCAAACAGCAGTGAATTATCGCTACTTGCAGATGAGGTAAGAGTTTTCTATGTACCTTGATCATTTGAAAGTAAAATAGGAATGCTTATGAGTAGCCAGTTCAGATGTGCTACATCAAAAAATTTGTGTAGTTGATTTTTTTAAAGTTAAACTTCAGCAGTACTCTTGGAACATTGTCCTGTACCTATATATGCTAATATTCCATAGGGAGAGTTAACATTAGTTACACCAGGTTAGCTTGCAAGAACATTTGCTAGACAATCAGGATGCTGTTCTGCTGTCTGCTTGTCACCACACCTTTAACACCGTTATCAATATGATTAGACTTTCACATGTTAAATATTGTAATTTGGGAAGAATATGAAAATACAACCAACTACTTCTTGTTTTAATGGTGGAGGTTGTGTTGTGTTTGTTCCTGTTCCAATTCAATTGCACTCTTAAGTCAGAGAGTCTATACAAAGCAGGTGGAGATAGATGGTGAAGCAGAGTGCTGGAACAGAGTTCCACCTGGTAATGTAACTGTAGCTTAGCCCTGAAGAAGAGCATCCAAAAAACAGAATTCCAGACTTTTGGGGGTTTTAAATGTGCATTACTTAAATATCTCTATTTGACTTTTTTCTTACCTAGACACAGTGACTTAGATAGAAGCTGTGGCCTCAGATTTTCTGTGAAGAGGTAGCACATCAACACCGTCTGTTTTTCTGTCATGCACTTGGAGATCCAATGAACTTTCTTTCAGATTGCCTGTTAAAGTTGAGGGTGATACACAAGATTTATAGATAAAATATAATAGAAAAGAAGTAGTAATGAATAGAATTTCATCAGAAAAATGGGACTTTAAAATATGCTACTTTGCCTGTTCTTTTCCATGGACCAGTGAAATAATTTTTATGAGCATTAGATTATGTTCCATGGATGCTTATATTAAATCACTGCTTAGCTTAGTTAATCTCAATTCTAAGACATTGGAAATCACATGAAGATAGACTGTAACTATTTTCCATGCAAAGAAAGTTTGTAAGAATGTGTTTCTGTTTGTTTGTTTTTTTTTAGGTGATAACAGTGTACAGTATCCCTGGCATGGATTCAGACTGGCTGATGGGTGAAAGGGGAAATCAGAAAGGCAAAGTGCCTATTACTTATTTAGAACTGCTAAACTAAATGGTTGGCCTGAATAGAGACTGTCAATTATGGCAACACCATATTTATATACAATTAACGTTATGTAAGCAGGTTTATGTGTCTTCCATGTTATTGTCTTGAGGGACAAATACCAGCCATTAAAAACTGGCTTTTCTGCCAGCATGGTTGCATGGTCAATACTCTATTCAAACTTAATGTGTTTAAAGCTTTTACTTCATGTGCCAAGAACGTTTCCTACAGATTTGTTTCTACTGAAGTTTTCACTAATACAAGCTTTTACTTTTGAGTAATCTAGATTGAAAGCAGGAGGTACTGTTTTCTACTGAAATTTTTCATTAATGGCAAAGCTTTTCTTCACATAAAATAAACTTATTGTGAACTGATGCAGGTGTAATGCACGTTATTTGAATAACTAAAACCAAATGTGAAACATAAACAATATGGTTCTCTCTGAAGTTCAAATGTGCTGAGGCATTCATGGCTGTCTGCTGAGTGTCTTGTGCATTTAGTCACCTTTGAAAACTTAAGGCAAGTTCCCAGTATGCTGAGATTTTAAACTGCACCTAGGTGGATTGACGCAAGCTAGTGACATATATTCTGACTTGTTTTGAACCTTGCCTTGTATTTTTTCCCTTTAACTGCTTTCCAGAAAAGAGCCTAATTCAGTTTGATTAGTAATTATGCAGATTCTTTCAACTGCAAATCAGCCTTTATGTTAAATTAAGTGCTGCATTTTGCTGAACAGATACACACTGTCTCCCTACATTTAAGTAGTTCTATAGATGAGCATACAGTTTTTTCAGATTATAGGTTGTAATGAAATTCTGCATCCCCAATTCTTATGCAACAGTTCATTGTCAGGTTCTAATTGGATTCAATTAGTGTTATGCGTTTTGCTGTGCAAGAGAATGTCCTCTCAATGTGGGAAGGAAAAAATGTTTTGAATCTAAAAATGACTTTATCAAAGGTAGTATAATTTGAAAATAAAATAACTTCCTAAACATGTACCCTTTTAGTGTTTCATAAACAGCAGATTTTTAAGGTTGTAAAAAGACATCATTAGTGCGAGTAAATGAGTGCCTTTAGAAAACTAAACACTAGCTTTAAATAGTTTCTGCCATAACTGTTGGTTTTAATGCTTTCTTAGTCAGGCAAATCTTGAAAATTAATTCCTACTGATTCTTAACAGAAATCCTGATTTGGACTTTTTGCTAACCATGAGATTTTTATAAGTTTTATGTTACTTCTGTTTCTTTCTAGAGTAGTGTTGTATCTTGGAAGAAAATTCTCTACCATATGGAAATTTTGGCTATAGGTAAACCGCCAGTATGTAGTGTCTTAACTCAAACAAATGTGTGTGGGAAGATGGAAGAAGGGAAGAAGTATATCCGTGAAGTCTGTGACTGTGCAAAGATATTGAACTTAGCATAAACTAGCCCAAACTTAGCCCAAACTAATTAGTCTTCTGAAATGCAAGCATAATTAACCCACAAACAGCAGTGTGTTAGTACAGCTCTGCTGCTGCTGGGATTGGAGCTGACATCTCTGGCTCTCATGTACAGAATTGCTGTGCTGGTGTATCAATTCTTACAGTGTCACTAGCACAGGTACCTCCATAATTGTGCAATTTATTGAACATTATGGAAGTAGAAAAAAAGAATAGAGTTAAGCTACTGTATTCTAATTGTCAGAATATCCCATACCTTTAAGGAACACTGTAAGGAGAGTGTCTTTCTTGTTCCAATGCACATGGTGTAGCAGTAGATTAAAGCCAGTAGTATGAAGATTGAAAAATATGAAGTTTAATGACTGTGGGTGCTCTGCTAAAATAGAACTCGAGAGAATTGCTTACAAGTTTCTTAGGCAATGACCAGCAAGTCCATGTCCAACAGAAGCTACCAAAAGATGGCTGTGATGTTTTGAGGGAAGAAAAGCAAATTAGGAAACGCCCAAAAGTAAAAGCTGAAGATATTTTGACAAAACTATGCAAGTAATTTGAGCTTATGTATATGCTTGCAGTAAGTAACCACTGAAAATGTGTAGGTGTGTTCTGGAACAAAACATTAGCTGAGTAAATGATAAGAGTGATTCAAATTAAATACTTACATATGGTAGTTGTAGCTTGATTATTTTTTTTTTCTGTACAATTGAGCCCTAATTTTGGCCACAGGAAGCAGCTTCATAATTGCATTTTGCTGTATTGTTCTTAGTAGAAGAAACATATGTGACAGTCCACTTTGAAATCTGTCCCAGGGAAAAGGGTAACATTAAAACTGGTTTAGTTCTGCTATCAATAATACATTTAGAGTTTAATCTGGGAATTAATTGTAAATTGTTAGATTATGAGATTAAATGAGATTAAAAGAAATCAATTAATTTGATTATCATCACTGAATAATGGCCTCTTGGATCTCAACTCAGTTGTTTTTGGAAAATTGTACAGGAATGACCTGAGGTGTATTCTAGGAGCCTAGGTGTGATAATACATGGAAAATTAGTTAATTTGCCTCTATAGTGCTTCAAAATAACAATTAAAAAACTCAATATACTATAGGCAACTTCAGTGCATCAGTGCAGAATGTGGGTTTTTGTGTATTACATTGAGGCTTTCCAGTCTCCTCCTAAAAGAATGCTTTGTACCAGGCAGCTTCATCGAAGTCCAGTCTGGGAGTTTGACAAATGTTTTTTGTCCATCCTTAATAATCGCACCAGTGCATCCAGAGAGCCACTTTCAACACCAGATATCACTTTAATATCCCATGAGAATGCTTTTTACTATTGTCTCAATTAGTCATGCCACAGAATAAGCATCAGAAGTACAACATATGTAGCTACTTTTGCCAGGAAATTATGGTCATTGTTGCTTGGTTCCAGCAACAAGTTTCTGCTGTCAGCAGTCTGTCCATCTGGGTTTTTGATTTGACAACACCACAGAGACTTATAATGATGTTCCCTTTCAAGCACAGGCATTTGAGAATTCATGCTGACTCCAGCAAATACTGATAATTAGCCAGTGCTATGAAATACAAGGTACTGTAAAAGTACCCCAGCAAAATCTGCTGGGGATGTGGGTTGCTTCATAATGGTTTTGCTTGTTCTTCAGAAGTCATTATACCTTCCAATATTAAGATACCATGCTAAAATTTAAAGTTTAATATGGCAAGAACTCTGTATAGAACCTTTGTAGCATAATGCCAGTAATCACTGGAAGGTATACTTAAGACATAATATATTGAACAGAACCAAATTAGTGGTATGCTTTTAGATTAGTGGTGCCCAAGGTCTGGGTTTCTAGGAAGTGGTCTGATCCCACTACCTCACTTGTCTTAAAATAATTCTGATTTTCTGTATATCTGGTGGTACTGAATATAGATATGCCTTGAATTTATATTTTGTTTTGTTTGTCTTCCTTTTTTTAGCTTACTCCCAGGGCTGACTGTTGCTATGAAACTGGCCACCAAGGCTTTCAGAATACTTCCCCCCAAAAATGAACTCAAGTATTTAGGAGGAAATAAGCAGCTCAAGAAGGCAGGAATTGCTAATTCCTAAAGATGACGGTATTGGAAGACAACCTGAGTACAGCCTGTTGTGGATTTTTTTACAGAGGGCACACGCACCAATCAGAGATATGCGTGAATGATGAATTTTTTCCTTACAGTGTATAGTACAAAAAGTTCCTCTAGTGCAGGATATAGTCCCTATATGTATACAGATCTGTAGGTCAAACCTGGAGTGAAACTACTTCGGGCTGACTTTGCTGTATGTTAAAGAACTCTTGCCAGCTTTGGTGAGACTTGAGCAGGCCTGGTAGCCTACTGGTAGTCTGAGCTTACTCATGCAGGTAACATCATAGCCAGGGATTTATACACGATGACTTAGGAAAGCAAACTGGTCAGATTGGCCTCCTCTGTATTTTGTACAGTAAAGATGGGGGTGGTTCAGATTTTACAAGAAGCTGACAAGGGCTTTCTGAATGTTAGAACATACCAAGAATATATTGCAATTCAGAAAACATAAGGACAAATATAAAACTTGTTAGGACTTGTGCTGGCTATGTCTGTACTGTGCACACACCTTGTCTGGGATTTCAAAATTAAAAGTAATCACTGTAAAGTATTTTAGTACTGGTGTTCACATAATACCATCAGCATTGATTGGAATAGCTGAACTGTGCTTCATCCCACCTTAAAAACTGTCATTGTGAAATACATCATGGCTCTGGGATTTAGCCAGGTACTGCAGTCCTGTAAAATCATAGGAGAATAACAACAGACTGCTTCTTCCTATTTGCATTTTAGAAGGCCCAGGAATTCACCATTTCAATGTTGTACACAGAAAGGCACTCATGACAATCCACAAATATGAAAGGCTTATGAAACAAATGTTCTTTATTCAAAAGACATCGTATTACTTCTCTGACTCAAATTTCTGGCAGGAGTCCCAGTAGTAATTTTTATGCTTCCACATGGAAGGAACAGGCAAAATATTCCCATTTGTATTCAGTACAAACTACTTGAGCATAAAAGGAAACAGATTTTCAGTTCCCCAGAATTGGAGACTGAAAGTGCCAGTGGAAGGTAGTGAAGATGTGTGTGATTCTGTCCTTTTAATCCCTCTTTGAGAATTTGTGGAGGGTCTCCACCTAGCCATGCAACTCCACATAAAACTTAGAGCAAAAGGATTTAGTGTTTAAATGCCTAATCAGTAGTTATGTTCATGGCTTCTCCTATCCCAGTTCAAAGCTGGTCTTTTAGAGGGTCAGGTAGTCATCTGGTCTGAAATAAATACATCTGGGAAAGGGAGTAGGGTTGTCAAGGCCCATGAGCCACAAATGAACTAAGTCCTGGAATCTTGTGTAACAAGAACTCCCGTGAAAGTTTGTACCGTAGAAGAGGTGATGGGAAGTTAGTCATTGCCTTTCTGGCACTAGGGCTACAAGTGCTGTCTAAACAAGGACTGCAGAATTAGGCTGTCTTCTTTTCCATGGACTGCCAAGGTATATATTTATAGTCATAGTCTACTGAGTCCTGTGAAACTAGAGTCGAATCCCCATCTCTCAGACCTACTTGAAACTGGTTTAGTTTTTTTTATTCCATTTCATTCACCTTAAAAATTTATGAATTTCTGAAAATCCTTGCTAAACTTGGCCTGCAGCCCAGTCTTGATTAATTTTCTCTAAGCAGAATTCCTATGTTCTAATATAATGGGCTGTAACCAGTTAATCACACAGCTATTAATGGAAGTACAAGGCAGTACATTGCAAGCTCGTTAGTTTGACTTAGCCGTGTGAATTGTGTTGGTGGAGATGCAAAGACATCAGTCAAACTGACAGACACGGGCTCACTTGTCTTCTGTGCTGCTGCCCTTATCATTGTTCTGTGAC